TCCAGGAGCAAGGCCCTGAATTGCAGTTCCAGACGATTAGCGCCACAAAACCAATTGAGGCAGGAGCATCTAAGCTGTCACAACAGCTTACACACACCCACCTTTTGCAAACCTGCCATTTAAATCATTTACTGAGGCACACTTGCTCCAATTTTTCATAGAATACCTCAAAAGTAGCCACACAGGCTGCTAAAAGTTTCTAGGCCTGGGCCGGCGGCGCTCACAGCAGCAGTGTTGCTTTGATGTTAATAATAGAACCATCTCAGCAGGGCTTTGCAAACTTCTCCTCGAGTGGCACCAGAGCCCGGCCGTGGTGTCACATCGTAAAGGAGCAAGGACACGCATTGCGCTCACCGCAGTAAATACCTCGGCCAGCTCCTCGCCGTAATAAAAAGCTCCCTATGAATCTTTCATTATTTCCCCCTCCTAATAAACCTACTTAAACTCTTGACTTCTCCACCAGAAATCCTTGTGGTTTTATTAAGGAGCTCGTAGCTCCCCCTTTCTTCCCAAAGAAACGTTTGCGTAAAAGCGGCACGGCCTACAGCAAAGCAACGTGTATCATATTTTTTTCTGTTCTGTTTGAGTGTTTCTGGGGAGTTTTGGTTGGTCTTTTTTTTTTTAACATTATTTTTGGAGGATTTGGGGTTTTGAGGATTTTTGTTTGGTTGGGTTGTTTTGTTTGTTTGTTTTTAGGATCCATACTACAACCACAACAGTTTTGGTGCAGAGTTTCAGAGAAATTATCTGCTACACCGAGTATGGCCTTCAAGGAAATAAGAGTTTTATGATGGCCTTACTTGAATTAACACTTCCATCTTCACGTGCCCTGCCAACACTGGTAAGATCAAAAGAATGTCACCTTACTCCCTGACAAGCCAGAATCTTTGGGAAGAGACCTGACCATCTGTGCTGCAGTGTTATGTCTGTCTGCGGGAGAAGGGGCACATGAAAGAAAAAAGCCTAAAGACTGAAGGATCCATTTAGGATACCATCATCAAATCTATTGTTCAATAAATGGAAACAGGAAAAAAAACATTTAGGATTTCCCAACTGTTACTGAAATTACACTGAAACTGTATTTACCAGTACAATTGGTAAATACTGAAATATGTAATCCCAAGGCTTGTACCAGCCCAGTGACAGATGAATTCTCACACCACTCTGATCAAGTTAGGAAGCTCCAGCAATGGAGTTAAAACTGAAATCCTCCAAAACAGAAATAGTGAAGTCTCAACAAGGAGTAAGTGATGTATTTGAGTTAGTAACAATACTCATTTTGGTTTTCATTTCTGTTGCCAAACTGTTGACTTTCAGACTTTCTGATTTTCCCAGCCAAAATTTTGTGCTATTTACATGAAAGCTTTAACATATGGTTAAAAAAAAAAAAAAAGGCAAGATTTTCATTAGAGTAGCATACAGTTCAACTCATTTTAAGACATTTTAAATTTAGGACTAATTTATGACATCTCTAATTTCTGATGTGATGTTATTCCTGATATGCTGCCTGTTGGACATAATTTTTATCTCACCAAAGTCTGTCACCTCAGAGATGATTTAGTTCTCTTAAAATCATTGGAAACACGTCCACTGGAAAGAAACAACCGTGCTTTTCAAGCGCAGTTGGATGGACCTTGCACTGTGACCCAGACTTTCAAATTAAGACACATGGTTTCAGGGCAGGCATGCAGAACACTGGTGTTTAACCAAGCTGGGGACTTGGCTGTTAAGGAAAAATACTGCTCAGCATTTGCATCTTCTCCCAGAGTGACCATCTCTACAGGCTAATAAACCTTCGGTGCCTTTGCACTGAGGGTGCGCACGGACTGAACCGTCACAGCAACGCTGAAAACACCAACACGGCCCAAAGAGCTGATCCTTTTCACTGCACCCAGGCACTCTGTTGCCTTCTTTTTCCATGTATGAACAACCTCAGAACATAGAGAGAAAGCAAACTCAAGCACAGCAAAAGCACCTGAAGGCTGTCTTTGGAAACTGTTTCCCAACTTTCCAGGGTTAAGTTTGTAATCACGGGCGATGGGTGGGTGTAAGACTTCATGGTGTTGGGACTTTGAGTTCTCAGTTTCACAGAATACTGTGAGTTAGAAGGGACTCACCAGGATGATAAATCACCAACTGTTAAGTAAAAGGCCCATACAGGGATCAAACCCACAACCTTGTTATCAGCACTAACCAACTGAGCTAATCTCAGGTTAGACTGACATGAAACAAAATGTCTTTACCATTAATACTCAGAGCCCTGCTAGAGAATTCATTGTGACTGGAGCTTTTAGATTGTTTTTGAAACATGTTCAACACCCTCTAATCTTTTTATTCCACATGTATCGAAAACAGTTATTAATTGAAGGATAGTTCAGTGTATTTTCCAGATGTTGCTCAAGCTCCATTTACCTTCAGCCACGATTCAACACTGACTTTAACCTGCAAAATAAGGCCCTGTAACTCCTCTCCTGCTTAGCTCAGAGCCAGACCTTTCTCCTGCTGTCAGTCTTGTATTTTGGAGCAGAACAGGACAGCTTACAGCTTTCTCAGCTGGTAGAATGATTCTGCAAATGTGCTTTTCTTCCAGGCTGGAGCAAATCTGACACCAGTCTCCTTCAAGGAATAACGAGCTCTGCATATCTAACGCTGCTCTCAGTGAATGACTGCCCTGGGAATTATCCGGAGGTTTTTTCCTCCTGCCCTCAATAACAGTGGAAATGTGCAGCTGAGTCATGGAGCAAGGTTGAACTCAATAATTAATATATAATCTACTCGCACAGAGATTGGATATTCCACTTCACTCGTGGTTCATTTTGTTTTGGTTAAACTGGTTTTAAATTTTATACATGTCCTAATGGAAAATTACAAGTGTCATCACTCCTAACATCCAATAAGATGCAGACAGTGACAATTCAACGTGGTATCTTCCTCACCTGGATGTACCTTTAACAATCTGTTTCCAACCTCTTGCCTGAATTCTTTATTAGTCTCCCAAAATATATCATTTTTCTGCAACCATTCTCTGCATATTGCTTCAGGACTATATTTCTGCCTGATTATTTTCTGTTACTGGACCAAAAAGGTTTATTCACTTCCATGTAATGGATCACATGTTTCTTCTCCAGATCAAAGTTTAAACTGACCAGTTTAATCTCATTTTCTTTAGACTCTAATGCCTTACAGCCAATGCCTTCCTTCAACACACAGTGTTAATAATCCTGGATACCAAGGTGTCAATTTAAAAACCTCATTGGCTGATATTAATTTTAAAAGCGAATCCATTTCTGGCTTTCCATCTTGTCTCATCCTTCTTTTTCTTTTATCCATTTTATCTTTCCTATTTCCACATTCCAGATAGACTTTGCATTCATGGTATCAAGGCTGTAAGCATTTTGGAGTGTTTTCTTTCCCATATGCCTGTACTGTGCTTTGCATAGCACTTGTTATGCATGCATGATCACAGACTATTTCTAGCATTAATTAAGATATGAAATTATAGTGGGAAGTATGTTATTGGTCACATAATACAAACAATACAAATTTGCTTTAAAAATGAAATTACTAAAGTGTTAGCAAACCTCTTCATACTGTCAGAAATAATAATGTTTACAATCTACATGCCACAGTACAGGCAGAATTCACAAGTGGATTTGGAATATTATTTCCACTTCAGAAAGATATACATAAACCCCCTGAGCAGTTAATTTAGTTTAGATGCTTATCCAGAAGAAAAAAACAAAGGTTTGTCATTCCTGCCTGTCAAACCATCCAGCTGCTGCCCCCAGTTATCCCAGTCCCACAACCAGCACTTCCACTGCCTGGGCAAGAATGGCTTTCCTTGAAATCCCGTCAGGAATTTCAGCAGAAGAATCACATTTTCTTAAAAATTCACAGGACCATAATGTTTCAAAGGACCATAATGTTTTAGATGAACTTCTGACAAACATAAGCATAGTTGCAAAACCAATTTGCCAGATTTCCTGCCCAGAAACCCAGACTCCCACGTTTTGCTATTGTAAGGAAGTGAGCCAACAGGGATTGTCCCAAATCTAATGGTACCCAAGATGAAGACATGTCTGGCATCTCATCAGGCCAAGTGATCTAGAGCTGAGTCCTGCATCTTTTCAAAGCCCAAACCACAAGAGCAGCCTGTCAGTGAAGCTGCCACTGTCATCAACAATGTACCCCATCAGCTCTTCCTTGTCTCCACAATCAGAACTACAAACCTCTCTGTCCCCACAGCAGAACAACACACTCCCTATCTCCCTGCTACATTAAAAATACCTTTGTCAAATGGCTCAGAAAAGGAGTCAAACCATTCTACACATTTAGAATATTAATTTTTCATACAAACACGTTTACTAAATGTTTTCCAGTCGTTTACACATGTACACTTTTGCTGAATGTGCACATCAGCATATTTAGTGTGCAGTCATCTCTCTGACCCCAGGGCTCTGCTGCTTTTCCCTCCACTTTGCTGCAAAAGCCACTCCTGAAATACCTCTGTAATGGTGGTGTTAATACAATTTGTGTAATGTAAAATAATAAGTAATAACAATGAAATGCATGTTCCCTGGGACTCTGTGATAACTCCAGGTAAAAACAATGCCATAGACTGGGAATAGATTCATAAATAAATTTGCACTCAGAAGAGTGACTTGTTTACTTACTCACAATGGAAAACAACACATTATAAACCCCTGCATTAAAAAGAAATTATAATCACAACTTCACAATAAACAGTGAGGAATATCACCATGTACCTGCCTGGCACAAAATAAACCACCAGACAAAAGGTTCTGAGGGTGATTTGTGGAGGGCATACACTCTCTTAGGTCCCTCTTACTACACAAGGAGTTCAGTGTGCTCCAAACCAAGCTGACCTCCTTTAGAGGTCCAATCCTTTGTTAGCAAAGCTCTTTTTATGAGGGCAGCCTTTGTGAATCCTGTCTGCAGCCTCAGTGTGAGAGCATATTATCCACGATTTGGATACTCACTTGCTACGTTGAGATGAATAAAGGGACTTGTCTTGTTCTCCCCATTCTTTTCATTGACTGCCTGGACATAATAACCTCCTGCGTCGGTCACTGATGTTCCAAGGATCACCAGCTGATTCTCCAGTGTGATGGCTCTGTTTAGGACAGAGAAAGATCACATTAATACCAGAAGGATGTTATCCACCAGGCAAAAACCATATAACACTTCAGACTTGACAGACTGATATGATGTTCACTGGTCACCTAAATAAAGATGCTGCAGAATCAAAACAAGCCTGATTTCAAACTCATTTACAGGAAATAAAGATCTTAGATGCCTCTAGGCCTTTTCTCTGTTTAGATCACATAATATGTTTATGGTGACACGCAGAAAGCTACAGCACATGAAACTAGGACAGTTTAAAAGGCAATAAGAAGTTACACAAGAAACAACAAATGACACCAGAGACCAACAGCCTGCAAACTGCCCCACTGTGGGCTGATGACAGTCCTGGTCAGCATCAGCTGCTGCAAAGGCAGTTTTATTGAAAACCTTCTCAACTAGTGAAAGGCAGAGTATTAAAGAGTGACACTCAGGGAATAACACACAGTTCATTGAGAAAGGAAAGTAAAAATCAAAGGCAGCAGAACCTCCAGAGGTAAACTTTCTGTATTTATGGCATTGCTAATTATCCCAACATCACAGACAAGAACATCGGTGAGTTAGAGCCTAATGGCTATAACAGAGATGATCTGTGTGGAGACAGGGAGGGAGGGAGGAATTTTAATTCAGCCTAAAGCAGTTAGGAAAGCACAACCCTGTTGTTAACTGGTGAGGGCCAGAGGGAGTCAATAAAGGTCATTTTATAACCCGAGTATATTCTTAGGGCTGCTACATAGCAAATGTCTCTAAACTCCCTCATAGCCAGCCTTACCCACCTCGTTACTTTGTATTTCACATGTATTAGATGCTCTTTTTTTGTCTATAAAAGACAAAGGATTAACCTAGAGACAACATATAAAACTTTACGGGTTTGACAGGGCAGGACACAGGAAGCTCAAAACCCAGGTAAGATAAATGTAAAGTTCCAGGGAAAGCCTTTGGAACAAAGATGTGACATTACTGCAGCCTGGGACAGGCATAGCTTGGAAATCTGAGTGCAAGACTTGGAGGAAGGAATTCCCACCTTCACCTATAGTACTTGATGAGAAGCCACAGCGAGTTCAGCTGTGCCATTACTCATATCATTGAGCATGAGGTTGAAACAACATATAAAATTATTTTACTGGAAGAAACAAATTCACACATCAATAGGCCTCAAAAAGAGCCAGTGCTAAATCAAAGTATTGGTACACTACTCAGTCAGTAATAAACACCCCTGGTATTCATCCTCTCAAAACCTCCATGTTTTGGCATGGGGTGGTTACCCTTAATAATAAACAAGTATTTTGCTTTGAAAAAGCAGCTAAAGCAACAGTGGAAATCATAAGTTCCTAGTACAGCATATTAGTTTTTATACGTAGGAGAGGCATAAAAAATTACAGTGAGAACATAGCTGTTCAAAGTCAGGTATTTTATTCATTACACTTTGATTTTCTGATGTGAACACAAAGACCTCTGAACTTCTGGAAAGCTATCATGGAATTATAGAACCACTTAGGCTGGAAAAGAACCTTAAGATCATCAAGCCAAACCATTCCCTCAGCACTGCCAAGGCCACCAGTGAACCCTGTCCCCAGGTCCCCCAGGGATGGTGACTCCACCACTGCCCTGAGCAGCTGTGCCAGGGCTTGACAACCCTTTCACTGAGGAAATTGTTCCTAATATCCAGTCTAAACCTCCCCTGGTGAAACTCGAGGCCATTTCCTCTTGTTCTGTTCTTACTCAGAAGAGCTCGACCCCCACCTGGCTCCACTCTCCTGTCAGGGAATTGCAGAGAGCAAAAAGGTCCCCCCTGAGCCTCCTTTTCTCCAGGCTGAGCCCCCCCAGCTCCCTCAGCTGCTCCTCATCACTTGTGCTCCAGATCCCAATACATTTAAATATATTTTAAATATATTTTAAAAAAATAAAGCTTTATTCTCAGCTCTCAAATCAGTCATTACACACCACCTAAAGATCCTGTTTACAGTATCTTCATTGACAGTTTTTATTATAAAACCTACTAAAAAAAAAACCCCCCAGTATTTTTTTTATTTTATTCAGTGAGCCAGTAGTAGTTTAATTGATTTAGAAAATTAATCAAAGAAACTGTTATAGATTTACAGAGTGGGAATATAAAATACAGTTAATATGACACTTGATAGAACAAATAAAGATAAAATTCCAATGCAGTGCTAATAATTGAATATTAAAAGACAATTACATTTACATTCATTTCTACTCTAGTTCTAAAGAGTAAAGAAAGCAGCATTAGGAAGATTCTTGAAAAACACTGAAATATATTTCAGACTGCTTTGATGCCAGTTGCACCCAAAGTTTTAAAGGTGATCCTTGAATACTGCTGAGATGGATGCTGTTACTATCTGCATTGAATTGACTGGAAATTTTGACACTTAAACCATTAAACTCACTGTACAATAATCAAGAACAAAGGAAATGAAAATGTATTTGTTAAGAAAATTGTTGAAAATGAAGTGGGCCTTTTTCATTAAAATTTACTTACATTTCACTCACAAATGTTACATCTTGCTCCCACTCCAATAAAAACTTGTGTATTATAAAGATTAATGAACACAACTATACTTGAACCAAAAAAATCAGTGCAGAAGGGCTAAACATTATAAATTACTTGTTCAAAATACTGCAAAAAGTTTGATATTAATTTGTATAGAAAAAAGAGTTAGAAGATAATGCAACTACTGAAGACAACTCTTAGGTTTCATCAATTACACAGTCAAAGTTAAATTAAAAACCCAAAAATGAGTTATTGATATCTTAATAGTTCTGTGAAAAATGGAATGTTTCCATTTCATTAACCAAAGACAGGTATGGAGCCAGCCAGGGGCCCTCACAGGCTCTGGAGTCTGGGAGTTTTATTTAGATCATGCATGAGCCTCATGCATCAGGAAAGTCAATTAGTCACATTTTAAGGACTCATTAATTCCAATGTTTCCAAACCATCTGAAGCTTCCTGTCCTGGCCCTTACCAGGGTTGCAACAACTTTCTGTACAACAGCCACACAGAGCTCCCAAAAATTGGCTTAATGTGTTCTCCAGGGTTTATTGTTTGTTTTCATTGTCTGATATAACTTCTAAATTCTGACAGCACTACTCTAATGTTCCAAGGAAAATCTGATTCCTGGCTGCTCAGTTTACCAGCATATTTGAGGAAGATGACTGCAGCAGATAGAGTGGACCTGTCAGTAATTCATACCCAGCACAGAATTCATGAAAAATATAAATATTGCTTTTTTAAAGCAGCATCGAACTTAATCTAATACTTTCAAAGACAGGAGCAACCAGCAAGCAAACTAAGCAGACTGATCCTTGGGGACTTCTTAAGTGCAGGAAAGAAGCATTTGAAATCACACGTTTTAACAGAAGAATTTTTAAGGTTTCTCTGGAGCTCAGCAGAATCTCGTGGGGAACAGCAGCCAACACACAACCAGCAGCAGACACGGCTGTGGGTGGGAGGGGGTTGGAACAGTGGATCCAGTGTTATCATGTCCAAAAGAAGCTCAGTGACACCTGCAGCACAAAAGCAGAGGCTAAACCAGACTGACCTCAAAGGGAAGGCGAGCGGGGCCTTGGAAACCACGAGCTGTGCTCAGGAGATGCTGCCCAACCAAAGGCTTGGGGCTGATGGGATGGGAAAAGGCAGCAATGATGGGGACAAGTCATCACATCCCCCATTCTTCTGAGTATCTGAACACGGAAACAACACCCCTGAGGTTCCCATCACTTCCATTCACTGCAGCCAGAATTCAGCCTGAACTGGATACCTGGTCTAGTGGAAGGAGTCCCTGCCCACGGCACAGGGGTTGGAACTGGATGATCTTTAAGGTGCCTTCCAACCCAAACCATTTTATGATTCTATACATTCTGAGATTTTTAATTGCTCCCTTCCAAATTGTCCAAAACTCTGATGCAAAGCTAAAGCTTACGAGAATTGTTAAAATCAATTGAACACAAATCGAGTCTTTAGAAGTAAAGAGAATTTTCCAAAAGGAATACCATTATTATGGTCTTAAAGACAAAGGCTTTGGAGTTAAACTAATTTTTTTTCTCCCACAGTGAAAACTCTGTCATTTATTAAATGCTGGAAGTGAACCCTTCAGTATCTTAAAATAGGTGGATTTCAGTTTATAATGTTTGTTATGTGAAATACCAAAATCTACTCTACAAGTGGATAATTCCCAGAAGTTAAATATTTGTTATGTTATTAGTCTACCAGATTACATGAAAAACAGATAATACTGGGTTATAAAAATATAAAATGAAAATCAGAGTAACCTGATTAGGCTTTCTCTCAGAAGGCTGCCATCTGTTCCTGAGCCAGCGTGCAATATTTTAGCACAAAGACCTTCAGAAAGCCTCTTTTCCAATATTACCTCCAGCTAATACGATTATCAATCCCTCTATATGAGATTTTTTTTTACTGGAGAGCCTCTGTTCCCCTTTAAAAAACTTCTGTCCACACTACACAGTAAATACCCAATCTATCTCCACAACCCAGACAACACACAGGAACAGTGACGTGAATAGAGAAGGGAGAGATTATGGAGCAGTAACAAAATAATTACTGAAAGACTTCCCCCCTGGATTTCCCCTCTTGGAAAAGCACAGCTATGCTGCAGTTAAACACACATCTGTTCAAGGGAAGCCCTGGCTCGGCGCAGGGCACGCACGGCTTACCCCAGTGAGCATCTCACCACCCTTGTGCCTCCCAGTGCTGAGCGGGGAATTATTAACCCAAATCATCTCAATACATGTCTTCCACAAACCACCCAGGACTGTTGCTCAGGACTCAGTCACAGAGAAAAATATCAGTGTATTTGCTACAGGGCAGCACATTCCCAGCAACGGAGCACCGGGACCTGCGACGGGATGAGTTTCACAGAATATTACTCAGGTTCCAGGTGTATTGTTACTGCAAATCAACCATCTATTAATAAAAACTTTATACTTACACAGGCACTGAATATTAAGTACAAC